ATAACTAAGTTAATTAGTCTTCTGATATTGAAAATATAGGTAGATAATGATATGATACCCACTAGACGTAAATAGTTAATTCATAAAGGTATATATTAGGGACGTACCAATTTGAAGGCTTTGGAAGCTTTTCTCTCGCAGCATATTCATTTTCTAATTCTACGTACTTTTTGTCCAGAAACTATTTGAAGCGAGAAAAAAACTATACTATTATCCCAAGACGTTGTGAACCAATTCGATGTGATGTAGTCAGATGAAAAAATAGCCGAAGAAATGTAAATGACTACTTATATATTGCACTCTGACATTAAGAATCCTACCACATGAACAAATAACATTGAGGAAGAAGTGGTGAAAAACGAATGAAGTGTAAGGTTTAAAGTTTCTGTAGTAAATAGCTGATTGAACACGTATAAAAAATGAGGTGGTTGAACAAGAGGTCGCATACGCCTACATACAGTTTATCTGTGCATGGTATGTTGGTTAAGAGATCATAAAAAGATTCATAGTTGATGTACAAAGATGTAGTAACGATTCGAGAAGTTCCAAATTGTTGTTTTGATATGTTTATTTGTAATGAATAAAATACATAGCATGGAGATTGAGTGGTTCAAATGGTTGTGGACGGAATAGAAGTGGCTTTCGTCTAATGGCTTTTGTTTTTTCATAATGGTGGATCACTAATATCTCTAGGCAGGAAACAAAATATATTAACCACAAAAGAAGAAAAAAAGTTGGTAAATTCTAATGGGATACTAACCTTATTCTTTAAGAATAGGTCAAGTTTCCTCTTAAAGGACTCCAGCAAAATTGCTTTGACTGGCTCAAACGGCAGCGAATTACATCTTTTGACAACTCTTAAGGAGTAGAAGTGGTATCTACATTCCGTTCTGCTGTGTTGTGTCTCCAGTTTCTAGGTGTTGCCACTTAGATTTGTGTTGGAGCTAAACTTAAGTGGGTGTTTAAGGTGATATGCCGGAGTGCTGAGGATAATAATAATATATTTCTGCATGTGCAGGTACACACCGTTTTTACAGGCATGATCTATAAATTACAAAATTTGTTGGTTCACAAAATGTTTCCCAACTTATTAAGTTTATAGTTGTTATGAAGTGAAATCTTAGAGTGCTTGCTGTAAACTATGACCTTGATAGGACGCGTACGTCAAGTTTGTTCCAAACGTCAGAAGTTTCATAGTTGTGTTCTCAGAGCAAGATTCTGAAGAAGAAAAAAAAGAGAAACAGACGAGCAGCAAGGCACTTGGATATGAACGCCAAACGTTGCTTAACATTGTGTAGTAGAACGGACAGAGGTATAATAAATTATAATAAATTCATATTATGTCTTATTAGAGTTAAATGAAGTCAGGGGCTCCATATTAGAGGATGTACTAATAAGGAACAATGAGTTGTGATGTTTAACAAGTTGGAGTAAGCTCACATGAAGGAAGGGAAGTCAAGGTTGGTACAAGGGAAGCGGTTTATTAGAAGGGTGTGTATATAGAGGGTGAAGTGTTATGAATACTAATGACTATATCTTTTGTTATCTAATTTTTTTTCCTTTTTTTGTCTATCCGGTTCCAGCCACACAATCCTAGTGTAAAAGTCCGAGTTAGCATGTTATAGGTTGTCTTAGTAGAATAGCTAATCCAGCATAATATTGGAACCATGAGTCTGAGTGGTGAGCGTAGGAAGATAATATATATCACAGATTGATTGACTTATTCACAACCATGAGGAGCCTGATACATATAAAATGTTCTGTCCCCACAAACACGGGTGGATTGAAGTTATCGCCCTCACCATCAATGCTTGTTGGTCAGTAACTCCAACCTCCCTCCTTTTGTGATGTTAGGCTCATTTAGGCTTATTTTTGTATATATGTCATACCTCACGCAATCCTTTGTGTTTCACATCCTGTTGGAAAGCACTATTTCTATAAGTACCATTTCACAAGATCATCAGGCGGTTACAAGCTATAGACTGTGGGTAAAGCATCGGTGCAGTGCCTCTGTTGACTATAGTATAAAGTATAGTTTGCCAATCAGAGTATAAGCATTAAGAAGGGTATAATGTAGGATGGCTGTTTATTAAAGCAGGTGGAAAAAGTATAGAAGTATATGAGTTGTGGATAAGGGAACGAGTGGAGAAATAATATTAATTGCTAGTCAACATAGTGTACAGAAGAGTAAAAAGTTAATACAGGATAAACAGGAAGGAACTCACAGTAACTTGGTGCTGATGTTATTTTCTGTTGTCCTAACCAGTTGATTGGTAACAGGCTCCATAGATGCAAGACCACTGGTAGTAGGCAGCCGATTGTGCGGCCTCTTGACTTTTTGGGGTGGTATTGAGAGTCCCTTATCGACCGAGTTTAGTTTAACAGTAATGATGTTGTAAGCAATTAGGATGTCACCTCTAAGACGCCTGTACCCTAATGGGGAAACGTTTGAATTGATTCCCCCAATTGATTTCGTGGTTCGCCATTGGATACGCTCCAGTGTCTATATCCTTTTGAGGTGAGAAGAAATACTATGTTTTCGAACCCCGTTGGGGACGAATAAAACTGTTGAAGAATATATGGAAATTTCTTCCATCAAACTGGCAAAAATGCACATCAATGTTACCAGTGTAAGGTTTGCCCGAAAGGTATTTTTGTTACAGTTAACGTATGACTTCAAATTGTAGGTTACCAGTATTCCTAAATATTTTTCAACTTAGAATACTTCTAGAGAGGACTTCCCTAAGCTATAAATGTAGCCTGCAACGTGTCGGAGATGGACTATTTTACACTTTGAAGTGCCAAAGGTAAGTCCGTTATCGTCTGTCCAACTTCGAAGTCCAGTCAGATCCTCCTGGAGTGTCTGTATATCGTCTTGGTTGCATATCTCTCTCCAAAGTTTCACGTCATCAGCAAAAAGTAATAAGTCTGACGATACCTGTTGTGGAAGACCGTTTACATAAATCAGGAAAGAAGAGATTTTAGCGCTGAAACCTGGGGGACGCCACTAGGACATTCCATAGCCTGAGAGAAAGTGAAGTTAACCCTGACTTTAAAATGTTGATTTTTAAGATATGAATTGAACCAATCAATTAGAGATGATTTGATACCCAGTCGTTTGAGTTTATTGATAAGACACATATGGCTGACCCTATCAAATACTTTTGAGAATTCGAGGTATATGACGTTTATCAAGGATGGTTGTCCATCTGCCCACCGCAGTCAGCACGTTGGTTATACAAGAGCGACCCTTACTGAAACCATGCAATTGGGATGAAAAGTAGTTTAAGGATAAGAAATGGTCATGTATACCACTGTAAATCAAGGACTTCATAGAGAGGTATAGAGTGAAGAGCCACCTGTCGGTAGCTTGGTCGCTGTGTCGACCTCCTTTGAAAATCGGTGTGATGTGAGCTTGCTCCAAATTTCCGGTAATATGCCTCGGCTTAGCGAGTATGAGAACATCACGCTTAGCGGTGTTGCCAGGATTGAAGCTGCATCCCTCAATATAGGGGAGTAAACCATTTCCGGGCCAGGAGAAGTGTCTTTTCTTAGATGCTGCAGTTTCCCGAACACCAACTCAGTTCTCAGGTTCACATCAGAAAGTCCTGTGCAATTGCAGATAAAGCTTCCATCAATGTAGATAATATGGGTCGGTTGAAATGTCCGAGAGTACTATTCAGCCTGAAGTTTAGTGGCGTCACTATTATTAGTAGTCAGCACATTACGACCTAGTAGTTGAGATGCTTCATTTTTTTCTTCTTGAAGAGAGGCTGCATAACGGAATAGGCTTCTCCGGTTGGAGACTAATTTATCCATAAGCTTTATTTGGTACTAAAGCCTGTCTTCTCTTATTGACTTTGTACATATGTTCCTTATACATTTGTATTGTCTGTACGCACCGTTGTTATCAGTTCGTTTTTACTTTGCCCAGCAATGTCTTTTGCGACATAGTAAACGAAGAGTAAGGTTCCTGATGACTGTAGGTTGCTTGTAGCTTTTGGGGGACCGTTTGAGGATTGACTGATTTGTAGCACATAAGAGCGTGTGCAGTAATAAATTCCAAAGAGCATCCATACCAAGGTAAGGGTGAACATCCCAATCCCCCTGTTGTAGATAGTTCTGTAAAGATGACACATTCAACCGTTTAAAATTCCAGCCCCTTTTGATTGTGGGATGTTTTAGCTCAGTTTTGCTGGCATAACTGAAGGCTATAACAGTATGATCGCTTTCCCCTAGGTTAGCAAGGATTGAGAAGTTGTCAATTAGGAATTCTTTTATTGTAAATACCCGGTTTAAACGCGACGGTATCTGACTGTTTCTCCAACGAGTTGCCGACTTCACATTCTCGAATAATCCCAGATCCTCAATGAAGTTGATGAACCGAGTTTCAGTAGTATTTCCACGTATGTACTGAGAAATTGACTTCGGGAAGATTGAAGTCTCCTAGAATCAGGATATGAGTGAGTCAGAGATGAGTAAAGCGGGATAACCCTTCCCACATGAGATTGTCGTACTCGATGTCAGCAGTTGGCTTCCTGTAGATGACTCAAACTAGACATCTCGAGGTGGTAGACAGTCTTACTGAGCACCATACGTGTTTCATCAAGAAAGATTAACTGTTGGTTGTACACTTGATGTACTTCCAGGCAAGAATGTAGGTATAAGGCTACTCCACCCCAATTCCTGGTTTTCTGTCATTGCGAAACAAAGACATCCCGACATCTAACGCCGATAAACATAAATCTCTGACAATTTGATCCGGTTATTCTTTGAAGAAGTGGCTTACACTAAGTCACGAAACGTCAGAAAATCCACTTTTCTACTCATTGGGGTTTTACAAATATATTATTTATATTTATAAGTCTCTGACAGTTGAAAAAGTACTACACTTTTCAACCTCTAAACATTCGACAAAGACTTTAGCGTTACATCACTCTTAAGTATTATTCGGGTTTATGTAAAGCCATGGTAGTTTTGTTATTTCGAACTAGTGGTTAATGCGCGGATTTCAAACTCGACATTTGATGGCGAACCGTAAAAGGAACAGGCCAGAGGATTGGGAGGATTTGGAGCCATCTCCAGTTATTCATATACGGGAGTTGCCAGAACATACTCTTGAGCTGGACTTAATTAGAGTTTTTGAACAGTTTGGCTCTATTAGGGATATTGCAATGATTCCACATAAAGGTCAAGCACTAATTGAATTTGATGACATTAACTCAGCAGAAAGAGCTGTTGCAAGGTAATCTTCAGTAATATACAAACTAAATAAGTATAAGATGTTCGGAGAATGCCGTGATGTTTGCTAATCACCGATTGAAAGTTAACTATAGTACATCGAAACGTGTGGTCCACCGACCTCTAGAAAATGATAACCAGCACTCCGAATTGCCTCCCGAAAGCCGTGTACTTATGTTAACGGTTTACAATGCTCAATATCCTATCACAGTCGATGTCATTCATCAAATTACAGCCAAACATGGACGCGTTTTACGCATCGTCATTCTCCGTAAAACCCGAATACAGGTACTTATAGTTTGACATTTTATTTGTCCAAAGGCTATGGTGGAGTTTAAAAATACGGAAGAGGCCCGGACTGCTAAGCGGCATCTTAATGGGGCCGACATATATTCTGGCTGCTGTACACTGAAAGTCGAGTTTGCTCGTCCTACACGCTTGACTGTCACTCGTAATGATCAAGATTCATGGGATTTTGAAAATCCATTATTACTGTCTACCTCACTTAATGAAGCTGATGGGCGTGGAGATATTTCTCTATTAGGTAAGAAGAGTCTTCGCTTACTATTGTCTTAGGACGTTTTGAACGTTCACGTGCTCGACACGAAAGCTCAAGGTCTGTTAATGGTGGCAACTTTGGCTATCATGATGGTTTCATAAAGCAAAATGCTGTCGGGCTTAGTGTCCCACCTGCTTCGTTCTTGGACCAGTTGGCTTTAAATTACCATGTATCGAGGCGTGGTCTCGATGGATTGAATGGTCAACCTTTTGCTAGGGCTGCAACTGCTGTCATAATGGTATATAACATGGATATGGATCATATGAACTGCGATCGGTAAGTTTCATTCTCAAGACTTTGTCAAGCTTAAAAAGCCTGATAATCAGTTTGGCCTTGCTCAGTCAACGTGGCTTTTCATACTCATAATCATATTGATTTACTCGGGTATGACTAGTGGGTATACAACTTTCTTACCATTTGGGTAGGCGTTAACTACTTTATCTGGTAGGTACACTATTATTTAGGAAATGTATAATATTAAGTAGTATTAAGACTGTAGCTGTAGGTTACACAAATCCGACCTGTCGTGTTGTTTTAGGCCCTGATAAACACCTTACGTGTGTAGCGACTTGGGTTACTCACCGGTCTATTTAAACAGTAAAACCAGACTTGTGAGTCCTTTTATTCGTGTACTTATTAATTATGCACTTGCACCTAGATGTTCTGTCCTAGCGTGTTTCTTACTCTTCGTTGTATATCTACCAGCTTACCCTTATCTATTTGGACTGTATTAGCTGATGCACAAAATTGAGTTGATTGGTCCCCATTTCATCTGCTCACACGAATCCCTGAAATATGTCTCAAACACAGACTTTCGATTCTGCGTTTTATTGACGTGAAAAATTGTACCATATATAGGGAATTGATTGAAGGTTTGTATTTTGGAAATCGACTAAATTACAGAGTTTACGAGGTGCCACAAGGTGGTGACCTCGATGTAATTGGTAGTTCCAGATCAGATTTAAGGAATACTTGTAAGCGAATAAGTTATTTATTCTAATACACAAAGTCAGATAATACTAGTTTCAGTATATCCTTAGACCATCTGTTTTATTTTTATTATTTTATTTGAACACGTAAATACTGGTACAAAGGGGCACCAGAAACATATGCGCAGCACAAGTCCAATTTGATTTGTGTGAGTGCTGTGATTCTGCCAGTGTGCCCAAACCGAAGCAGGTGGTTTTCTTAGGGGGGCACACCCGGAGCATTTGACCTAAAGGTCCGACCCACAAGGCAGTGGAGCAACTTAAAGAAATTCAGTCTCATGGTAGCCGGTGACCAACAATTGGTTCATACGCCATTTGTTCCCGCAGGATACTGGAGCCCATGTGCACCATTAGTTTGGAATCAGGGTTTTCCAACTCCCCTAGGTGGACTCTCCGTGACTAGCTGTTTAAAGTAGTGCTTACTATAGTTCCACTGGAAATGGTCTCGTCAATTTTCTTGTAATTTACTGTGAATGAGTTTTAAGTTGTAGGATGGACTACTTGTTTTCCACTAGACCAAATTTGCTAAAACTATTAATCTTTCCGACTTTTGGTAATTGGTCAATTCTATTGAGTTTTTAATTATCACGCTTTCGTTTTGTTTTAGCTTGTTCAACCTTCTTTGTCTCTATGGTAATGTTGTTCGTATTAAGTTTTTGAGGACTAAAGAAGGATCAGCTATGGCGCAAATGGGCGATAACGTTAGTGTTGATCGTGTCATTACTAACCTTTCAGAAGTCCCATTGATGGGAAACGCATTGTCGGTATGGTTCTTTCTATCTTGAATTCATTTTGTTGTTTTGCTGATAGATCACTAGTTTTTAAATACTAGTGACTAATAACGTCTTAGCTTTAGTTAGTCCTACGTGCGGTCACCATATTGTTACCATATATTCGGTCAGTTTGACCAAATGAATCCTTCACATATGTGAATCGACCCAAGTCGTCATTATATCACACAGCAGTGATTATTATCAATGATAGTAAAAACAATTGACCACTGATAGGCTTCCAAAAAAGATCTCATTTGCCTGAGGCAAAGTAGAAAGTAGTTTTTTAATTTCAGGATCCACGCTACTGTTACCGATTATAAGTCATCGTTCTCACTGTCCGACAATTGATCACTTCTATCGCACTGACCCCAACTGGCAGTCTACACCAAGTAGCATGACCCGCTTCATTATTCATTGATTTCATGGATTGGTTTCTTATCTTGACTTAATCGCCTTTAGCTTTATAACTTACTCTCATATCAAACAACATCACATGGGTTGGCTAGTGGGGTTAGGTTTTAGTAACATTAGGATCTACAGTCCCATCAACCGATTCTTTATCTTTGCCTGGTGTTCTCCTTCTGATAATACTTGCTCTTTTGTTTCACAGTACGTAAACAGTCTTCCAAATAGACGCTAATGTTAACGCAAGTTGACAAATCTAGGTCAGATTTCGAATCTGTGCCGAGATTTCGTCAGGTACCAACTCACCAGGGTTGATGAGGCTTTTAAGAGAGGTAGACAGGTCAACGCACTTAAATACTGCTCTCCTTATGATCAGTTTTGGTCAGTTAGACATATGCGACGCTCCACCTAACCTACTGATAACTGACGCTCAACTCATCTATATGTTCACACATATAACTGAGTTATATGTTCATTGCTCCTAACTAGCTCTCGATAACTAGAATCAATATGCATTCTGATTGCACTATATGTCAGAAAATTAAATTTAGAACTAGTCTCGTGAAAATACACTAACATTCACTTCATTTGGGTTTCATTCATCCAACATCCTCGACCTTACGTATTAGTCGCTTCGTAACACTTACACGGCTAATCAATTAACAGGGGTCGAAAATATACCCCTTCACGATTCAAAATGAATATGGTTCGAAGTATTTCATCTCCACAGTCAATCTTCTATTCCTCTGGTCATCCCTGTAATACATAATTAACAGGATGTCTGTTCATCATGCAAACTCAATACCCAATTCTAACAATTTCAGAACAGCAGTGAGGAATATACACCGACACAGTTATCATTCAACAAGTTAATTATTCTTTACTTGATCGAAAACATCTACGTTGATAACCCAGTAATCATTATCAAATACATTTAAACTCTACTATGTTCTTTTTTTTCTCAACTGCTTTTGTTTTTACTTGAGCTTTTCATTACTAAACTCGGAGGCTCATTAAACTGTCAAACATACTACAAACGATTTTCCACAATGTTACATAAAACATTTTGCATCTGAAGCGCGGAAAGCTCATCTCAAACATAAATGTCACTCACCAATATAATAAGGCATTCCTAAGTTATCGAACTACCAACAATCAAGGCCAGATTATTTATTTACTTCTGGCATTACTTTCTTACTAATATAGTTCTTAGAATTGAAGCGATAAACTTCTTTGCTGTGTTCTGCCTTTTTATAAATTTCCGTTGATATTATTATATAGAGTTGTATTTCTCCATTGAGGGCTGAAAAATGTATATTCACACCCTTCAAGTATTATGCTACAATTAGTCGCAGATGAAACTAAACAGTGATCCAGTCTCATAGTTGATGGTATTATGAAAACAGTATGTGACAGAGATGTACATATATTGTCGTAAGGAATGTTTTTTGATCTCGCTTATACAAATGACACGTAGGCTGTCTAAACCGTGCTTAATCATTTGCAATCATTATTCCGTAATAGGATATATACTTTACACCTTCGAAATACTAACTACGCTTATAAAACTGGAAGGAGCCTGGATCTTTACTCTATGTTTGTCCATTGGGGATAGGCGACAAGTTCATTTATCTTGATAGCCGTGTGTTGGTCCTGGCTTGGCTGATGAAATCAACCTAGGCATAGTCAAAGCATAAACTTATGTTGACTTAGTCCATCTTTGGCTCCGTTGCAATGTTATTGTAGTTGTTATAGGTAGGGTATATGTATCAAAAAATGCACTTCTGACCTGTGGATGTAAAACTTGGACTCTGTTTTGATGATGTTTAATGATTTTCCCTATCTATTCCTTGTTGCACCCAAAGGATCGCTCACATACGATGCTGACACTATCCAAGTAATCTCGAGGTCTGACAGTTTGCTCACAAATGATATTTCAGTTTACCGTATATCAACATATCGGCTTCTCTAGCTTAAGCTTGTCTCAATAGTGTCATTTTAAAGAGCTCTCAAATCGCACATTATTTTCCGAAATTAGAACTTGGGAGGAACAGAAAGTCCAGTTTATGAAATGTGGGACGTAAGGTAAGACTGGCGTCCAAGTTAATCACAACCATTTAGTGAAGGTTTCAAATATCATGCAACCCGATAGCTTGAGATGTCATCAAAAATGGTTCAGAATAAAAAAATTGTAACAATCCCGCTATAGTTTCTTACCTTTTCACATGAGTAAGCTCCCATTATAAAAGTAAAGATCTATCACGCTTACACTTCCCTTCGGACTGCTTCTTGATAGAATACTACTTTTGCTCATTTATTTCTTAATTATGTGGTTTCCCGCTTTTTATTTTCCTCAGTATCATCTAATAATTCTGAATTACTTGACCTTCTGCTTCGTTTTCGGGGTTTGTGTTATGAATGGAATTAAATGTAGGTGTACTTTTTGTCGTGCTGATAGTTACATTTAGGGTCCTAGAAATATGAAATTTTTTAGGACATTTCAACAGAACACTTAAATAAAAACTAAATGGAATGATATCTATCAGATTTCTTTTGTGGATAGCTATTGTAGTCAGTTGAAAGTACTTGGTTTGATTTTTTGTGTAGCGGAAAACTTATTTAGTGATCTCAATTTACTTTTAAATTCTAGATTCGTCCAAGCAAACAACAACTTATCCTGGACGTACCAAAACCTTTTGAATTACCAGATGGTACCCCATCTTTCAAAGACTATTCAGGGTGTCGTGAAAATAGATATATAAATCCAGACAAGGCGAGTAAGAATAGGATCTACCCGCCATCACATACTCTGCATTACTGGAATTGTCCTCCGAGTTATACCCCAGAGGAACTGCGCAAGTTGATTGTTGAATGTGGTGCTTCACCACCTCGGTATGTAGTGCTGTTTCTCAATGTTCGCTTTCAATATTTGTAAACACCATACCACTGCTTCTTACTTTTATCCCATGGTCATCTAATTGCATGACTAACATTTCTTCAATATGATAGTCATAAGTGGTAATAAAGTGTTTTTGTATAACGCCTCAAGACAACAAAATCTAATCAGTCAGCAATACTCATCACACCTATTCAATTTCACAGAGAAATTCAAGCAGTCGAAACATAGCATTAATAATAATATTTTCCGTCCATTAATTGTGCCATGCAAATTTCACTGCACGTAAATGTTGTGTTTACCACCGCCTGGGCGTGAAAATGTTTTGTCCGTAGTAAATTCGATAGTCATTGTAAACTAAGGGTATCTTCAGTTGTGGAGCATAATTATTCGCTATGATACTCTTGTAGGAAATAATGTTTGCAAGATTAGGTTCAGCACTATCATCATCAATTTGATTGGTACCGGTGTGATAATTATTTAGGATATTAAAGTGTATTTGGTTGTGTATTCTTATTCACTAAAATAATAAGGCGCTTAAGTATTATTTTGCGACGACAATAGATATCTCATCCGTTGTGTTATCTGTTTCTGTTAAAGGTTAAACTATTGAAATAGCTTCCCATTCACTTATAATATGTGCTTATCGTTCTGTAAGGTTTTGGGTGGTAGTTGGTAGTTCAGTGAACTGACTTATTGTTTCGCCGGACTGTATCTTGTTTGATTTCCCTATGAAGAACATATACTTCTTATATAATATATCTGTCAGTCAGTAAAATATGTATCTGTAGTTAATTCAATTTCTTAACTTCTATTCTTTTCGGATAATTCCTTATTTTGTCCAAACTGTATATAGCCAAATCGCACCTTTCCCAAGGATTAGTGATAGATCCTCTTCAGGCCTTGTAGAATGGGGAACAAAAGATGAAGCCGTTACTGCCCTTGCTTTGTGCAACCACCAAGCTATTCCAAACACCGAAGGTCGTTATCCATTTCTTCTTAAACTGTCATTTTCAAGCTCTCCTGTCAATGATCGAGCATTTTCAGGTTCGAAGAAGATTGGCTCATCAAATATTGGAAAGTCAGCAGCATCCGTAGACTCTAGCGAGTATGAATAGTTAATGGATAGGTTAGTTAGTACTTGTTTGAATTTTTTAAAGTTAATGGTTTTTTTATCCATTTGTTTTTGTTTGCTGTGTCATTTACCTCACCGCTTTCCCTGCGTATATAATACAGGTCTTAAAATCATGTTATTATTTCCTTCGTAACATCTACTAACGCGGCTCATTATACTTTTATTTATTTAAAATGTTTTGGTTTGACTGTTTAGTTAATTTTCTACTGTAATTAAAAAATTACCCTCCACATCGTCTTTACACAATGCATTTGTTTTTGGAAGTGCATTTTGATCATGTATCTTTTGTAGCGATCCATTTTTCTGAGCTCTATAAATTAAACAAGGTCTCAAGTATTCCTACATAAACTTAAGTGTTGACGTTTCTTTGCTAATAATTTCAGATATTTTGTTTCAAGAAGCTTCAAACACAACCCTACCTCTTTTTGAGACCTTCCTTCCAAAGGTGCTCGCCATCATAATTTTCCTATCCAAGTTAATTTATGGATGATGCGACACGAAAACTGTTTGTCCGTGGATCACATTAGAGTCGTCAATCGAACACATAGTATATTAAGTCTACTTGATTTTCATAGTAGACAATGATAATTTTTTTTTACAACACAGACATACTTATCGGCGTCCGACAATGGTAGTCTTTCTTAACCTAAAAGCAGCATTTGACTTTGTACACCAGAAGGTTATGTGGCAGTGTCTGTCATTGAAAGGCGTACCTCAGAAGTACATAAACTTTGTGAAGGCTCTTTACTCGAACACTACTAGTCCAGTCACAGCTTATGGCGAACTGTCATCTGATTTTGCAACCTAAAATTGTGTCCGTCAAGGTTGTCCACTATTTCCGTTTCTGTTTAATTTCATCATAGATATACTACTGAAAATGACGTTCTCGTCGACTGCATTTTCACGAATTGATCTCCTTCCCGAAGGTCCACTTATCGACTTAGAATATGCATATGACAGTTCTGTTTAGTGAAGACGCTGATAAGATGCGGAGTGTTTTGGTAGCATTGAGCAACAATGCCACGATGTTTGGAATGCATTTCTCCCTTTCTAAGAGCAAATTGCTGTTTCAGAACTAGTCTGCGTCAACACCTGAACTAAAGATAGGGAGTGAAGTAGTCGAACGCGTCGACAACTTCACTTATCTCGGAAGTCTAATCAACCCTAATGGGTTGGTGTCCGAAGAAATCTCTGCACAGATTCAGAAAGCTCGTTTGGTTTTGCCAACTTATGTCACCACCTATGGCTAAAGCGAGATATCCGTCAATCGATTAGCGGACGGGTGTACTGTCCAGCAGTTCGTTCTGTTTTACTTTACGGCTGCGAAACGTGGCCATTAAGAGTAGAAGATATTCGCAATTTACTAGTATTTGACCACAGATGTCTTAGAAATATTGCTCGCATCTGCTGGGATCATCGGGTAAGTAATAGTGGGGTTAGATTCAGGGTATTAGGGAATGATGGTAAATCAGTTGATGAGGTTGTGAATCTACATCGACTGAGATGGTTGAGCCACATGTTATGTATGCCTGAACATCAATTACAACGACGTGCAAGGTGATTAGTGTTGAGGCGGTTGGAAGGAAGTCAAACCAAAATGTGGCATCAGTGCTTGAAGTCACTAACTTCTAGTCTTAGTCGTGTTGGTAGATGCAGACCATTTGGTTGGTGTCCGGGTGACTATCGTAACCAATGGTTGTAGAGTCTTGGTGAAATGGCTCAGAATCGATCACAATTTGCGTAGGTGTATACACTCTTTGTCTTCCCTTAAACCGTGAGATTAAAATTACTTCATACCTTTCTTTCTACCAACTAATTTCTTCCTGTATTATATCCTACGCAATCTTTCTTTTTATATATTACTATCACTAAAGTAACTACTTCTATGGATCTGGTGTTCATCTTGTATTAATGAGGTGTGGCAACTTTTACCGATGCATATATGTGCCTGGTACTACGTTGTTTGACTGACTGTTAGATGTTAGCCCTTTTGTGGTCTTCCAGTTCCTTCAAACACTTATTATTCTTTGTTGTACTTGGTGTTCCTTCTAGTCTGATACCCGACCAAAGCTGCTACCTTGACGCGGTGGTCGGGCTTGCCTATCGTGATGACCCAACCGAGCTATATTGGCTGGAACATATGTTCCTGTAGGTTCTACCATGCCAGGCAGGTCGATTGGAGAACGGTAAGACTAAAAGCAGCAACTCAAGGTCTGAGGGCGAAGTCGTACTGCTGACTGTAGAGAGGTGTGACAGCAGTAAGGTGTTTCCCTCGGACAACCAGCATGACAGCGATGCTGCCTTCCCACAAGGAGGGGTGGGGTTAGAAAAGGTCGACCCTAAAAATGTCACACCTCACCTTACCTCACGGATTTCCGTCTCCGGCGGTAAGGCCCTTTGAAGAACGGAGCTAACACGTCAAAAACCTTCCACAAAAAGGCCGTGCGCGACCGGCCTCAAGCAGTTGTCCCTTGGGCTCTGCGGTCACGCTCCCAGGTCGTCAAGACCAACACTAATCCAATTTCCTTTTCAGGTTCCTCAAGAAATACCCTTCCACGGTGTGGGCAGCCGGGAAGTGACATCAGCCCTCATACCCGTAACAGCACAAGAGACCAAGGTGGTCACATTCAAATCCTTCCTACACCTCCTAATACCTCTCTTATCTCCATGACTAACCCTCCTCACGTCTCTTTATCACCTCGCACCGCTAGGGCAAACGATTCGAGTACGTGGAACGCCATTCCTGGTCTCCTGAAACCACGCTCTAAACTACACGTAGGAGCTTTTAACGTACGAACACTTTGCCAAATAGGACAGCAGGCTTCCTTAGCTAAAACTTTAGAATCTCGCGCCATCGATGTGTGCTGCGTCTCCGAAACGCGCATACAGGATCCAAGTAGCGTCATTCATTTGACCTCACCATGCCAAAATAAAGAACCGACTCGATTTACGCTTCGTGTATCTGGAAGCCCTGATTCTGCTTCCCGTGGCCTCGCCGGCGTAGGTATAGCATTGAGTCCTAGGGCAGAACTAGCTCTCTTAGAGTGGATCCCAGTAGACAGTCGTTTGTGCGCTGTCCGACTGAACGGAACAGTAAGAATCCGGAAAGATAGGGACACTCGTCGTTGCCTCTTCGTCGTCTCTGCCTATTCTCCCACTGACTGCAGCTCAGATGATGTAAAAGATGAGTTTTACAGAAAGCTTTCGGACCTTCTCCGAAAAGCTAGGCGCTCGGATGTAGTAATAGTGGCCGGTGACTTTAATGCTCAAGTAGGTAAACTAAGCGATAGGGAAAGACACCTAGGTGGATCTTATGGTGTCGTGGCTCAAAGAACAGATAATGGCGACCGTCTGTTGCAGCTATGCTCAGATAACCGCCTGTTCCTTGCAAATACTAACTTTAAGCATAAGGAAAAACATCTTTTAACATGGCGACCCCCTAATTCGTCCCAACGTTGGACCCAAATAGATCACATCGCTATCAGCCACCGATGGAGGGGCTCGATAGAAGACTGTCGCTCATTCTGGAGCACATGCCTAGATTCAGATCATGCTCTAGTGCGAGCGCGTATTTGCTTGCGTCTTACTGGACGTAGGAAAGACGCTGCAAGGAAACCTCTTAGGGCCTACTTAATGATAGTCAAGCTAAGAGTATATTTCAGGAACAACTAGGAAAACAGTTAGGCAGCCATGTATGTGATGCCCACCCCGATGCAGCATGGAATGATATCCGAAAAGCTGTGGAAACAGCAGTGATATCTGCTAGTAAGGTAAACCAGAAGGTTAGGGAGCAACACTGGATCTCAGCAGCATCTATCGCACTGATAGATGCTCGGAAACTCATTCCACCTGGCTCTGAACATAATGAAGAGCGGAGTCAGCTTAAGCGCAAGCTGACAAGAAGTCTACGCAATGATCGCGAACAGTGGTGGGTAGCGAAAGCAAGAGAGATGGAAAAGGCAGCGGCAATAGGTAATAGCAGACAATTGTTCAGACTCGTTAAGGAAACCGGAATTAGGAACCCGACCGTTAGCGAAACAATCTCAGAGAAAGATGGACATATTATTCATTCTCAATCCAGGAGATTGGATCGATGGGCAGAACACTTTAGGGATCAGTTCAACTGGCCTTCAGCCACACTTCGGTTTAATAATAAATAACATCATAAGACCTTTTAACCTCTGTAAGTGAATAACGCCTTCTGGTCACAGAATAAATCTACGGACAGGGATTGATAAGTATGGTAATGTTTTGAGACTAATCGAAGTGTGAAGATTTTACATCTATGACCAAGCGTGGAACGTTCTTGATCTTCTCTGTGCTTATTGTTTGCGAAGTCGAAAAATCTGAAGCGAGGGAGAGCAGCAGGCCCTGACAGGTTTACTCCTGAGATTTTTAAAGATGGTGGTCCAGTATTAGCAGTGAGATTAACTGAGGTCTTAGGTAGAATCTGGGAACTGGACGTAATCCCATCTGACTGGTCTCAATCACTGATTGTGCCAGTCTATAAGAAAGGACAAAAGTCCTCTTGTGACAATCACAGAGGAATCAGTTTGACTAATATAGTGTCTAAAATATTAGTTTCAATAATACTTCGACGCCTAATCAAAGCTCGTGAAGAGCAGATTAGAGAAAACCAGGCCGGTTTTCGACCTGGACGTGGTTGTATAGATCAGATATTCACACTACGTCAGGTTCTAGAACACAGACACACATTCAGACGCCCCACAATCGTAGTATTTCTCGACCTTAAGGCGGCATTCGACTCTGTTGATCGTGAAGTTCTATGGCAGTGTTTGTCACTGAAAGGAGTACCAAAGAAGTACATTAACCTTATACAGGCTCTCTACTCGAACACATCTGGTAGAGTGAGAGCTTATGGCGAATTGTCATCAGAATTGATTACCTCAAGTGGTGTTCGTCAGGGTTGTCCACTCTTTCCATTCTTGTTTAACTTTGTCGTCGACGTACTTTTAGACATAACCCTCTCCTCATCTAAATTTCCAGGGGTTGAACTTCTACCGGGAGGTTCACTTGTTGACTTAGAATATGCTGATGACATAGTTTTATTTGGTGAAGACGCTGACAAAATGCAGAGTCTTCTGACCACTCTAAGCAACAATGCAAGCATGTTCGGGATGCGATTCTCTCCCTCGAAATGCATAATATTGCTTCAGGATTGGGTTACATTGACACCCGAACTAGTGATAGGGAGTGAGGTAGTTGAGTGTGTCGACCGCTTCACTTATCTTGGAAGTTTCATCAGCCCTTGTGGTCTGGTGTGTGACGAAGTCTCAGTACGGATACAGAAGGCTCGATTAGCTTTTGCCAACTTGCTTCATTTATGGTGTAGGCGAAATACCCGTCTATCAACCAAAGGACGTGTTTACTGAGCGGCAGTTCGTTCCGTCCTACTTTATGGCAGTGAAACATGGCCGGTAAGAGTAGAGAATATTCGTAGGTTACTAGTATTCGATCATAGATGTCTTCGAAACATTGCTCGTATATCATGGGACCATCGAGTAAGTAACACAGTTGTTAGCAAACGGGTACTAGGTAAGGGTGGCGAATCAATTGATCAAGTAGTGAAACTTCATCAGTTGAGATGACTGGGACACTTGTTACGTATGCCCAACGACCGACTACCTCGACGTGCTATGTTCAGTGGTATAGGAGTAGTTTAGAAGAAAGCTAGAGGCGAGCAAAC